TGTCACCACAATGGGATAAACCAGGAAAAGGGCCCATAATCACTAACAGGGAGTTCTGCTCTGTCTAAAAACAGCATAGCTGCAAAAATCTCAGATACCATCTACCATAGGACACCACAAGGTCCCCTAAGGTAAAATAGATCTTAGCCTTCTCTTCCAAAGACATCAAACCAGAAATAGTTTTTAGCTTTTTTTTTGTTATTTATTTTCAGATATATTTTTTTTTTCTGTGATACAAACTGCTTGCAGCTTTTTCCCAGGGAAACAAACTATTTTAAAACACTTGCTCCCCTCCTCTCTCATGTATTTTAGAAAAGACCTATTTTAAGCAGTAGAAGCCACTAATTTTTATTTTTTAGTTTTCAGAACAAAGAGGGTGGGTATTTTTTGAGGCTTTTTAAGATCCTTAGAAAGTAGGATTATATTTCCTGGGGGGATTTTTCTGTGTGGAAGTGCTACATATTTCTGCTTGTGGCTAAAATCAGATAGGAGGAAGGAAAAGTCCCAAATAAACTAGCAGGTAAAGCATAAAACCATTCAAAGCACACAGTACATGTTTGGTGCAGCCCATTTGTTCCTTTATATATGTTTGGACCCCTCTTCACTTGGATACCCAGAGGAAAATGAGGCTTAGGAGAGAATCTCTTTGGAGGTAAGAGATGCTGTATTTGAATCTAGGACTATGAGCAAAACAGTGATGGCTCTCCAGGAGGTCTATGACAGTAGTGAATAAGAAAAAGAAGTGGAAGGGAAAAGCTCTATGAATTCCACCCTGCATTTCTAAACTCTAAAGCCAGGGAGAGAGTAGAACGTTTGTATAAGGCAGAAATTAGAAAAATTCCAAAAGGAAAAGAACGGGGGTGGCTTATCTAATTCATAGGTTTCTCTTTTGATGTTCCTATATATGTCTCTCTTTTAAGAAGAGGAAAACCTACAAAGCTGTAAGGAGGAGCTCTCATCCACCAAGGGTACAACTGGGTTATAAACCAGCCTACACTGCTCAGAGCTGCCTGGATTTTGGGTGCATGATTATCCTGGAAGAAATACATGTTTGTAATTTAGCTTCAGGATTAAAATAACCAGCTGGGCAGAAGAAAAATAAGACATCAGCTGACAATAAAAGCCATCAGGACTCTACTACACAACATGAGTGTTGGTTTGGTTATTGAAATACAGGCAACAAACACTGAAAATATTGACTGTGAGAATGGTGAGGAAACCTGGTGGTGCAGGTAGAGGCTGGAATGTTTTCATGGTATTCAGCTCTCTGCCTCCCCTCCTCTCAGTTTTGTCTTCTTTAACTTAAATTACCACTTCATAGAATCCATTTGTATTTCCACATTGTTTTGAAGCTAGTAGATGGAAAAGAACTAGGAAGGAGGTTATTGTGGAGCGTGGGTTGCTTTTTGGTGTGGGTTTTTTCTTTTTTTTTTAAATGAAAGTGAAATGGGGCTGGAGTGTGGGAAATTCTCTCCTCAGCAGTCACTTAACAAATTGGGCATTTTTCATCTACTTCAAGCGGGGAGAAAGACTGTCAGAGAATTTTAAAGGAAAACACTGCGAAATGTTATTAATTGAAGAAAGATTTTTGGCCTTCATTATTCCAACCAATGAAAGCAAAATTCATGCATCATAATTTGGGATACTGTTTCCTAAAAAGGCTATAATGAGTAAAACTAGACAGACAGAACATGGAGCAGGAAAATACTAAGGTATGGAAAAAACCAAAGCCTGGATACTGCGACTCTGTCAACAGTCAAAATTTTCAACACGCACATTTTTAATTTGCATTTCATTTAGGAACGTAAGATTTACTATCGTGATTTAACCATTACTCAACTAAACCAAGGGGGACTCAAACTATTTCTTACAGAACAACACACATACAGACACGCTCTTGGATCTTCCTCCTCCCTGTAGTCAGACTGTTTGTCCTATTACAACATACATTTGTTCCACACATGCAGCGCTTACTGAAATATCACTGGAGTCTTACCAGAACTGTGGCATCCGAGCCCACAGGAGTGATGAGGGGTTCAGGGTACCTGCCTGGCAGTGCTGCCAGAGCCTGCCTGCCTCTCCAGCTGAAAAAGCAGGAATCTGCACTAACTGAGCTGGGCACCTGTAACCAACAGCCTGCATGTTACTGCAAACATCCCCAGAGGATCAGGACAGAAATGCTCCAGTGTAAAACACACCACTCTTGAATTAACGTGGGGTTTAACTTCAGCACCTGCTGAGAAATCCCATCTGTACCCAGAACCAACAACTCTTGCATAATTACATCGATAAAAATGTATGGTCTGGATTTGTTCAACAACAAAGCCCAGCCAGTGACCCTTTTAAAGAAATTTCTGTTCTCCATACAAGTGTTGGTGAGAAAAGAAAAGCTTCCTCTGTCTACCTACTCCTTGTTAACAACAGAACTAAGTATATTATTTGGGCACAAGACAAAGGGATTTTACCTATATTTTCTGTCCTACTGGATACATCCTGCCTAAGGATGTCTATGCCCTTTTAGGCAAAGTCCCACATCAAGAGCTCATTGTCCCCAGGCTACCTCACAGGAAAGCTGCTTCCCTGGACAGTACTCTCTGCCATCCATTCTTTGTTCATTCAAATAGAGATCAAATCCATACAAAGCTTTTCTATTCCTGTGCAGTACTGAAGTCACCTGCACCTACTTTTTTTTTTTTTTTTTAAAGTAGATAATGATATTTCTTCAGTATAAAAAGTTTTATCTAAAGAGAACATACACAGAGATGCCTGGATGTCATAGCAGACTTCAGTCAAACTCTTTGGTCAACAGATCCCTCTCTTTCCAGGTCAGGCACACAAACTCTTCCCAAGTGTCTCCATGACTTGCCTCTGTGCTTCCATGGCATTTCCTCAGCTGCTGCTCAGTCAACTGAGCAACTCCACATGATTTCCAATCTCTCATGTTTGGATTCAACTCTTAAAGGACCCTCAAAACCACAGCTCAGTTGCTTGGCTCGTATGTACTCATGTTTGGCTGATGGCTTCAGTTCTTCCAACCATTTTATGTTGCTCCCTCCCTTTGTGCTCCAAGGCCAGGTGTGGCTCTGAGAGGTGTTTCAGCCCAGGCAGCTGCACTGCAGTCAGTGCACAGCTGATTGATCAGGTTGGATGAAATATCCCCCTCCAAAATGGAGGGAAAGCAGGTGAAGGCAATTCTTGTATCACAGTTCACTAAACTCTTCCTATTTTAAGCAACACGAACTATTGGAACCCTTCAGATTCCGTTTTAAGCAACACCCCTACTTTTGCAACCTTTTCCACTTATGATTCACATTATATTTTCCAGGAGTATTTCCTTCTTTTCTTCAAAAATTCATTTTGCTTCAACCTTAGTCAAACTTTCTGCCTGCACTGTTAGCAGGTGCTTATGTGTGCAAATGCTTACTGTGTGGCATAAACAGTTGTGTGTGATCCCACATGGCCCTGGTATGTCACAAACTCCTGCTAATAAGCATAGTCACAGCATAGACAAAATTCAGGTGGAAAAAACCCCCACAACCCCAAAAACCACTGGAAGATGATTAAAAATATTTCAAAACTGATTCTGAAGTATCACACGAGTTCTCTGGCCCTTATCCAGATGGTCATCTGAGTAAACATCCCAATCTACTTCTTTCCTACCTTTTTTTATCTAAAAAAAATAATAATTCTGCAATAATCCTGCAGAAAGGAAAGCATATTTGCATATATGCTGGATTCAGTTTCTTACTAGAGATGTGTTTTCTTGGCTGGGCAAATATGTTTCCCCTTGTAAATGTAAAGACTCTGCCTCTTTGTATTGAGTCCTCTTTGAAACCACCCAAGAGTAGCTGACAAAAATAGTGCACAAATAAGCACAGTGGGCTCAACATACTACAAGCAAAACTCTTTGCTAAGTTTAAGTTTTTTAGGTTTTGGCAGAAATATCATTTTAGAGCTCCAATAAACGTACATTCAATTCATAAGGCTTTTCTCAGCTGAAGATTTACATGGGCCTCCTTTGTATCAGCCACAAAAAGTATTTTAAGAGTTTGGAAATTCTAGAAGCTTTCCTCCTGCTTTACTCAGCCACTCAAGCTTGATCCTCATTAAATCCCCTGACATGTAATATATTCCAGTGTACAAGAAGCCCTTCATTACTTCTCCTTGCTCTGAAGGTAATAAACCCATTTCAAAGGCTGGAAGTAGGAACTATTGCAGGTGTTTCCTCACCCCTGCACGCTGAGCCAGGAAGGCTGGGCTAACACCATGTGAATTAGTCCGTTCCAGAACGACTTGAGAAAAAGCATTTTTAGATCCCAGTTAAGAGGGTTTCTGCTCTCACAGAAGGTTTAGGAAGGAATTTATCTGAAATGCAGGATAGAAGCTGGAAAAACTAAACCCATTTCTAACTCAGTCACCAACCTCTGTGGCCATGGGCTCGGCAGAGGACTCTGCCACCTGCCAGGGGTGCACACTGAAGTCCACACCTGAGCCCACAGCTTCTCACACAGCCTTTGCTTCTCCACTGGTGGAAAGGACATAATGAACTTAAGCAGCACATTGTCAGGCTCTCTTTTTTTTTTTTTTAAAAATAAATACAGACCTCTGAGACCTCAGGGGAAAGCCATGCCCTAAAAGCCAAGATTTTCCAGAACAGGTGTATATCAGACTCAGCACAGAACTGGGAATATTTCTGAAATACATTTAGAGAGTTTGTATGCTGAGGTACAGATTTATCTAACACCTTAAACACTATTTTTTAATGTATTTTACAAATGAGGCATCAGTTTTTTGACTCAGAAAAGCAGCCATATTTGTGAGCACACGTATTGCAACATTAATAGAACTAATATCTCTCCAGGACAAAATCCAGGTTGCCTTAAAATGGGACTAGATTTTTGATTAATTATAGGCTCATACACAAAATAAACATGGATTTGGACCCTTCTCATCAGGCACTTCTCATGGATTCTTGCTCTTTTGTTGTGGCCCTTTCTTACCTGTGTAATTAGGAGGGCAGAGACAAACATAGTTGTTGATGCCATCCACACATGTAGAGTTATTCTCACAGTCATTATCCTCGCAGTCATCTGGGTTTATTTCACACCTCTCCCCCTCATACCCAAGGAGACAAGAGCAGCTTTGGAGAAAGAAAAAAAAAATTAATAAATGTTAGCATGGATCTGAAGGAGGAGGAGATTTGAGGCATAAAACTGAAATGAAAACATATAGAAGTGAGTTGTCGGAGCCAAATTCGCTGCTGCTGCGAGGTTCAGAGCATTTTAACCCTATGTGTTTGGTGAAGGATGCAGTCTGATGGTTCATGGGGTCACAAAATCATTTACATGAGACATAAAAAGCATCAGCAGGAGCCAGGCTCTGCCATGCTCCCTTTGCCTTCTTCACTGGTAACTCTTGCTCTGAACTGAAGTAAGCAGCTCCAGGGCAGGGGAGTAAACACCCATCACAATATTCAAATCCTTGGCTTCTCTGTTAATGGTTTTGTGGGAATGTGGACACTTGCCTACTGAGGACTGCACAATCTCAGGGCAGCTTGGCAGCTTTTAGGTAGTTCACTCTCTTCAAAGACCAACTTGAATTGAGTTTACAGACAGAAGCATTTTCTTCTCATTACCACTCTGTCACTTGTCCAAACAAGAAATGCTTGGGAATGATTGCTTTTACAAGTGCAGTCAGGTTTCAGTACTTCTGCAGCTCCTCCAACATCTGTTTGTAGAAGGGCTGATGATGCCCAGATAATTCAACTAAAAGACAGATCATGGCAGAGCTGGTAATGGTTCTGTGAGGGTGTGGACACCAGTGAAGAATAATTGCACTAAATATTTTGTCTCTCAAGACTGTGATGTATGGTCTCTAGAAGGAGTGTAACAAACTAAATGGTTGAAGAATGACTTGACATTTTTTTCAATCTCCATTTCCTTTCCTCTCTAGATCTAGAAGCTATGGTTACAAACAGAAGCTTTATATTTTAAACTGTCTGTAAGTGATGAAGAGGTTGAGGCCAGAGTTTCCAAAAAGAGAGTCTAAAAACATGTTTTAAGTGCTCTGGTCATTTCAGTGGCTTATAAGAAGCCAGCAATGGTATTTGAAGTGTCAGTTTTGAAGTGCCAGCATTGCTGTTCACTCACTAGTCACAGAAAGGGTTGTTTTGAGTCCCAGTCCAAACTACACATTCACTCAACTGTTCATTTCCTCTCCCATGCAAGCTCTGGTGGCAGAAAAGGAACTGAACAAATGTAAAGCACTGCTGATGGATGAGGATGAAAACCAGAAAGCACCACAGCAGTCACACTAATGGCCATCCACTGCTTTCAGAAACCAGGAGAATTGCTAATGCAGACACAACTGCAGGGGAGCTTTTTCAGCTCAGATGGACAAAGTGGACAGGAGGTGGTTATCCTGCTTTATGGAGGTGTCATGGGGTTGGGATGGGGAATGCCCTGGAGAAACAGATCTTCAGAATCTGTGAAGAAAGCTGCATGGCTTTTGGGCTGGCTGCTCTGAGTGTGACATTGCCTTCCCTTCCTCCTGCCTGCCACCGACGGAGCAGAGCACAGGGACTCCCCATGGGAGGGATGGCACAGAGTTTTCCATCCACCCTCAGCAGTCCTAGGCTGGACCCTGAGGACTAGGTTAGATTCTTCATGATGTGCCATCTCAGAAGGGAACAACAAAGAGGGAAAAAAAGTGGGAAGGGAATGTGTTTTGAGCCACCACAACAGTAAGGTCTCCCAAACAGGTAGAGAACAGGGATACCAGGCACAGTCACCTTCATTCAGCTCTGCAGGGACCATCCACAGGTCGTGAGAGTTAGAAAACCTTCACCATGAATAACCAAAACCAAACTGCTCAAATAAATCCAATTTAGGACACAATAAATCAATAAGGAATATTTTCTTTTCCTGTCTCAAGCTTATTATTGCTAATAAAACATGTCCTCTTGCTGACCCTGCAATGGTCCAGAGGATCACAGGAGGCAGATAGGAAAGAAGAGCTGGCATACCATCTTTTGTGGCAAATGTCAGGGAGGGGGTTAAAAACATCTAATTAAATACAATGAGACATTCATCATGTCTCCCTTTTTGATTACAAAACCCCATTTTCAGAGGTTTATAACTCAACCATAAAAATATGCTCCAGGCTGCAAATTGGAAGACAAGGTCTCCGTTTGGGAGCAGAAATTTTTCTCTCCATTTAAAGAAAAGCAACAAGAGTGGCTTTGTGCTGGTGATTTTTGTATGAATATAACACCATTCTCCTTCCACAAAAGGATTGGGACAACTTGGATGTATGCAATTAAAAATGACATTATTAAATACTATCACAGTAATGGTTCAACTCAGTGGAGTTACCATTAGTAACAATTCATATGAGCAATATACAATTGCTCAATATTAGGACACATTCCATACTCAGGGAAATGTCAGAATGATTGATGGCATTTGGCTACTGGTCCTTATGTATTATAGGGAGTCTTTACATTATTGCTTACGTGTGATTCTTTATTTTGATTTGCATTCAAATGTGCCAGATATGAGGCCTGAAATTAAAAGATAAAATATACCACTTGGGACTTGGACTGAACCACACGTTGAAAGAGTTGCAGTTTGGGACTGCTTGTATGTATTCTCCCAGAAAAAGCTTAGAAGAAAAATGAAGTCTGCTGAGTGACTGGAAGGTCATCAAACTTGGGTTCCAGCTGACCGAGAGAGAAAATGAATTCCTGGGACAACGATGAAAACTTTGTAGTGACTCAACAGTGAATCCCTGTGAGACAGCATTTCATGTGGGCCTTGGAAATAATGGAGCCATGCAGGAAAGAACTGTTTTCTAAGATGCTGTGACCACGTAAAGGTTCAGATTCCCTGTTCCTCCTGTTTAGGGACTGGTGTGTTTTCCCCTCCCCCAAAAAACCCCAAAATAAAATCCCACTATCCTCATGAAGGTGCAAGGGAACACAAAACTTAATGACAATGACAACCTTTTTGGGGTAAACTTTTGCAGCTGAAGTATTCTGTAAGTTTTTTTTTAAGCTGGCAATTTTGTAAGTTTACTATATTCAATTTTTTAAATAAACTCTAATGAAATCATTTAACATCTGTTTATATTAATATATATACATACAGTGTATCATGTTTCAAAAAAAATCAGCTTTTAAACAGAGATAGTAAATTCTTTCAGGACTATTACAATTCCTTGGTAAAGAAGCTTTTTATGTCTATATCCCAAAGGAGTAGCCTGCAAGTCTGGAAGTGCAATGTTTTTCCTTGAACTAGGCAGAATTAACACTAGGCAGTTAATCAGTTCCAGGATTTTACATTTATGAGGGAACTTTAAGTTTGTGGAAAAAACCCACCCCTGATCTGGGAAACGGAGGGAGGTTTTATGTGGAGAAAAGTTAAAATAACCCAGAGCAGTTGTTTCCCAGCACCGCAGGTTATCGGAGATCAGCTGCTGCCTGTGGCTAAAAGTGAAGCAGAGCTGACAGCTCTGCCTCCTGCCAAAGCCTCACTCCCAGGAATGCTAAACCACCGGGACGTGTCTGACTGACCATCTTTTTTATCAGTCTCAATAAGCGGACTCTTTTTTGGCAACCTTTTGTCAGGGAAGACACAGATTAGATTAGAACAATTCAAAGGGAGGAAGAGCTTGATGTCTCCAGTCCTCTGAGCCACACGGTGTCACTTATCTGTCCCTTAGCGCAGAGTTCGCGCCTACTCGAAGAAAGAGAATTTGAAATTACTCAGGATTGAACAAGTACAAGGGTAAAAGAAGATGGAATAACTCCAGATGAACCTTTGCCCTTTGCTGTCCCTCCAGGATCTGCTGTTCCAGCAAACCTGAGCGCCTCAATCCCCTGCTGCTGTGAGCCCTTGTGGGGACCAGGCACAGCGGGGCGAGTCAGGCTGGAATCTCAGCCAAAACTGAGAGTTTCCTGTCTTTGGGGGAACATCACCACCTCAGCATTATTTAAAATGGTGGCTTTTTCGTCGAAGGCTGCAGAAACTTGAGAGTTAAACTGCTTGGCATTTCATAGGGAGAAAGCTTTGGCTTAAGTTTCCTTTTTACAAGAGTAAAGATTTGACAAGTTTGGCAGCAGGGCTTGTGTATGAATATATTTCCCTAGGGAAGAGAATATACAGAAGATATAATTTCTTTTACAGGCCACACAACAAAAAAAATCCAAGGAGGCCTCTCATGAAAATGTTTTTGACATCCGCTTCCTCACAGCCTATAATCTAAGGCAATGCTTTCCCATCTTGATGAACACAATTTATGTGCATGTAACTCTGACTGCTGCCATCCACTGGAGAGATTTCCCACCAAACCAACCAAATTCAATCTCAAAATGTTTCTTTTTCTTCCCTGTCACCCGACTGTTCCATCCCCGCACCACATTTCTCCCCAGCCAAAGCTCCACAGTCCTCCAGACCCACAGTGGCTGTAGACTGACTGAATTAAAAACAAGGATAAAACAGAGCTACGCTGAACATTCAATTTTATGCAGCAAGATTTTGATGAGATATGGTTTTATGCGTCTTTTATTAGACCAACTGAAACTATATAAATAACTATAAAAGCAGAAACCTTCCCTAAAAAGCCTCGAATGCTGTTAAGCAACAAAACCACCCCTGCAGTTTTATAAAGGATCTCAAAAACAATGCTCATTTGGAACTGATGCAAAGCCTCTGAAATTGTATAATTCTTCATGAGAAAAATTCAGAAGTAGTTTTTATTTCAGGTCATTCAAACCTTTTTATTTTCTACCACGGGACAAAATAAAAATGCTAAAGAAAAACCCAATCCAAAACATAAACTGGAGCCTTTCATTCTCGTATTATGGATATTTTAAAATGTTTTACTATTGCATTTTTAGTATCAGTTGTATTTTTGAAAAATGTGTACTGAATGACAAAACCCAGATATTCTAATATGGTACAATTTTGCTTTGGCAAAAGCTGATAAAAGCTATCTAAACATTATTGCATGAGGGTGACTAGAAAAGGAACTGGAACTGAAGACCACCAGACCTTTATTTCTCTCAAGCAGAAACTAAACCTGAACTTTTACTCCAAAAATTGCTGGACCTGCTAAAATTGAATCAAGAGGAGGTACACCAGATCAGAGCAGTGGTTTCACCAAAATCTCTGGAGTCTGTCAAGCAGCACAACCACACACTGAGACAGAGGAGCTTTGGGGCATTTCTTCCATTTTCTGCTTCTTGTTTTGCAAGAAACACCATAAATGCTGAGGACCAAATCTATGAATATTTCAGCAGCTCTTCTTTAAAAAGAAATTCTCTATCAACTTTAATGACAACCAGCAACCAAACCCTCAAACTTGTATGTTTTCAGTTGTGAAATAGTGCCTGTAGCAGCACAGATCTCCAGCTACCTCATGAAAATTTCTACACTTCTCTTGGAGTATCCCTGCCTATGTTACAACTGTCTTAACCAGGCAAACTAAAATCTGTAATATTCAGCTGCAGAGGCTGTTCTCCTGCAGGCACAAAACTCAAGATGTGGCAATCTCCCCATGCTTTTTAATTGTTTCTTTAAAGCCTGTTTGTCTACAAGATTCTTCAGTTATGAAAACATTTTGCATCAGGTTGTCAAGCAACAGATGCTCATTCTACAAATACAAAAACAGCTAGACGTGGGATTGAAATGCCCCAAGGAAAATTAGGATACAGATACGACAGTGCAGATCAGGGAGACTGCTCCAAACAGCTCTTAAGTGTATATTCCATTATAAAGAAATAAGGAGGTTTCACAGGAAATGATATGTCACACCAATGAAACCAGATTAATTATTCTGTAATACAAATATAAGTGTCACATGCAGCAGTTTCTATGAAGTAGCCATTACAGCTCAGTAGTGCAAAGTAGAAACACATTTAATTTTATCATCTCATTTTAAATGAAATTTGTGCTAGTACCTGAATCCATCTTTATTTGCCTCGGTGAGGTGGCAGGTCCCTCCATTCTGACATGGGTTTTGAATGCAAGAATTAATGGGCACACTGCAGTCTCGACCCTATTTGGGAAAATTCAAAAGAAACAAGGTTAGTAGGAGTCATGCCATCTGAATCAATGTCTCTTGCTCCCTCACTCTGCTCGTGGCACCACTTACAGGAGGTCTGTGGTCTTCAGACCCATCACATCACCTAATGTTCTTTATTGATGATCAGATATATTCATCACTTCAGGGAGAATTTGGGCAGGGCAAGTGTTCTGACCAAGGGGACTGGTGGGTATCTTGGCATCATTTCGATTTCAAGATTTCAATGAACTCTTTCATTAGGCTGTTTTAAGGAAACAGCTGGTTTCACCATTACTCTAACACACTTCAATGTTAGTTACAACGAAAAGAAAGAATCACAACCAAAGGTAAGCAGGAGGCCACACACAGCACAAGCCCATGTGGAGCCAGCACTCATCAGCTGCATTTACCAAGTGCTCAGTTAAACACTGCAACAACACACTGTGCTCATTACTGAGAGCTGTCAGAACCCACAGGGGAAAGTTCCTTTATGTCATGGGAGCTGAGTTTGGATTTCTGCACAGAACACCAAATCCTGTTTGAGATATCATCATTGAATCAGTTCCCTTCTTAAAGGTTGCCTTAAAACATACATCAGTTCCAGCTGAGCCTCACCAGCTTGAGCAACCTCCTCTGTTACTTTTATTGGCCCTTCAAGGCACAGACATATGTCTCTGATCACTGTATTCTGCTGATTAGAACATGCTCTTTGTAAAATGGGCAAATACATCAAAAATTTTGATCTTGCTTTTCAGTTATTCACAGAGTAGGGTGGAGTAAAGCCACCTCAGTCTCAATACTTAGGAGATCTCTGCAATCACAAGAAGTTAAGAGATGGCTCTACTCTTCCTACCAAAGATCCTGTTGGCAGCAGCCCTCTGCCAGCTCATCTGCTGGAAACCTGGTAGATGACTGCAGTCAAGGTGAGAAAAATATCTTGGGAAATATATTAGTTCAACCCAGATTGTTGGGTTTTTTGGTCTTGCTTTAAAACCATTCTTTACCTTGTACTTAAGAGGAGTAGCAATGATTTCGAAGTTGCTAAACAAAGTAGGCAGATCCCAGCCTGTGACATCAATGTGTAGAGTTGCAATATTTGTGTATTAGTAGTATTGAACACTATAGTCAGAATCACTTAAGCTGGAAAAGACCTCTGAGATTATTGAGCCCAAACTTTGACTGATCACTGCCTCGCCAGCCAGCCCAGAGCACTGAGTGCCACGTCCAGTCATTCCTTGGACACCTCCAGGGATGGGCACTCCACCACCTCCCTGGGCAGCCCATTCCAGTGCCTGACCACCCTTTCAGTGAAGAAATTCTTCCTGATGCCAAACCTGAACCTCCCCTGGCACATCTTGAGGCTATTTCCCCTTGTCCTGTCCCTTGTTCCCTGGGAGCAGAGCCTGACCCCCCGCTCCTGTCAGGGAGTTTCAGGGAGTGAGAAGGTCCCCCCTGAGCCTCCTTTTCTCCAGGCTGAGCCCCCCCAGCTCCCTCAGCTGCTCCTCATATCCCTGACTCTCCAGACTCTCCCCCAGCAACACTGCCCTTCTCAGGTCATGCTCCAGCACCCCAGTGCCCTCCCTGTAGTGAGGGGCCCAGAACTGACCCCAGGATTTGCGGTGCCTCAGCGTGCCCAGTGAAGAGGGACAGTCATCACTGCCCTGGTCCTGCTGGCCACACTACTCCTGATACAGGCCAGGTGCCATTGGCCTTCTTGCCCACCTGGGCACCCCCTGAATCATGTTCAGCTGCTGCTGACCAGCACCCCCAGGTCTTTTCCCCCCCAGGCATCTTTCCAGCCACTCTTTTCCCAGCCTGTAGCGCTGCAGGGGGTTGTTGTGACCCAAGTGCAGGAGTCAGCACTTCACCTTATTGAACCTCACACTGTTGGCCTCAGCCCACGGATTCAGCACTATACATATTACACTTTACATGTTATATTATACTTTCATCCAACACCACAGAGGAGCTTTGTTAACAGCGCTGTATTTCCTGAGGCTCTGTCTCCAGCATTCCCCAGAGTGAGGAGAAGCAGCTTTGCATTTTAAAAATTCCTACCAACACGAGGAAAGAGGGACAGCCTTTTTCCATAGCTGAACCAAAAGAGAAGCGTTTCCAAAGAACAACAGAAAGACCTGGCCACCCCCCTGCCGGGCTGTGAGTTCATGCCCAGCACAGCGGTGCAGGCAGCACGTGAGGACCTCACCCAAGCCCTGGCACAGAGGCTTTCTGCTTCATCCATGCTGCCTTTGCCAAGCAGCCTGTCCTTCTCCATTTGAAATCCTGAGTCCCCAAATGTCTCAGGGAAGAACTGGGAAGGCGCCGAGGGAAGCTCCCGCAGGTTTTATTTCGGCACCATGTGGCCCCGCAGCGCTGTGTGGACGAGAGCCATGCAGCACCAACACTGCTCTGCTCCCACCTTTCTCCAACACTGCCCCTCTTTTGTCCATCTGTCTTGTGAATCCTGGCTCTTTACCACCTTATTGTAGTGTAGCTGGAAGACACTGGTTATTATTTTCCCATGTCCCTGTCTCAGACATCAGTTACTTCTGTTTCATATGAATTCTTCATCCCTGTATCACTAAAATATTAATTCCTTTGCAGCCAAGCATAGCAAGAAGCAAAGCATTTGTTTTGTCTGAAAGTTTTTGTCACAGTTGAACACCATGTAAAACAGTCCCATCAGTTCTACTGTAATTCCATAGATTAATTTGAATATTCTTGTAAAAATTTAATAAAGATAAATGTTAAAATGAGAGCAAGTCGCTCACACTGGCACATGAAATTTTGCATGACAGACTCAGCTCTCATTCCTGTCCTGAACATGGCTGAATTATCGGCTTCTTGGGCCTCAGGCAGCAGGAAAACCCATCAGTATCTGCTGCTGAGCCAGACTTAATTGCAACACTAAGTTGCTATGTGGCTTTAGGAAAATTAGAGACTCTCTGACTCAGTTTACTCATTGTAATAAATGGGCAAACAACACTTAATCCTTCTCCAAGGATTATCTTCTCTGAGCTGACTTTATCAATAGCACACTGTGATCCCACAAAACAAGTACAACTTCCCAAACACAGAAGGCTATGAAAACAAAGAATTCTGAAAGGAGAGAAGCTGCAGAAAATAGTGGTACTAATAAATCTACAGGAAAGCAAGGCCATTTTATTTCTATACGAGACTGTCCCTACCCAGAAGAGCCTAAAGACATTCTAGAAACATCTTTCAAATTAATAATGCAATTCTCTAGTCTCAATTTACAGTAAGACTGTTCTTACTGGAAAAATGGAATTGCTGTCAAGCATCACTAAAATTAATTTATCTGTGAGTTGGGAAATACTCCTTGAATTACATTACTTGGAAATAACTATTGTTACAAAGGAGAATATTGTCTATTTGCTTCAAGACTAAAGAGCCCCTTAATGAAGTCTGAATCAGAAAAAGAGGTGTAGACTTTGTTTCAAGGACAGGCAAGAAGATAGGACTGTCTCAGCAATTCACAGAAAGAGGATGAAGGTCCCCCTGTGTGCAATATTTTACTTCTAGAGCTTTTTTAGGATGCAATAAATTTTTGTCTAGTGTGATAGGAAGGCATCAGATCCAAAACACTTCTATATATTTTTTTCTCATTTTCTGTGGAAAAGAAACACTTTAGGCGTTGAAACAGGAAACTTCTGCAACTTATTAGAAGACATATATGTTCAGAGTCCAGCTGTCTTTTTAAAGCTGAAGTACCTCAGCTGGTCCAGACTTTTTCCAGCTCCATATTTCAGTGAATGAGAACAGAACTATCCACCAGACTTATAAAGTGTCAGTTCTTTGTTTGAAATTACCCGTACTGGGCATTAGTGTATCTACAAGCTGTTCCTCAGCACTGCTGTGCCAAATTCCAGCCTTTACAAGTATCCAATAGTGGGAACATTACACCATGATCAGTAAAACACCCAAGAACAAGTAGCAAAAAAACTAATAAAGACCTCAGCAGGAAGAATAAGGGATAATGCAGTTAAAAACCCACTCATTTGCTTTGACACTGTATCAACTACTGCAATGATATTTTTAAGATTAATTTTCACTAATTAGTATTGTCTGTGGAGACTGAGAGCTCCATCCACGTTCACATGGCAGAGATTTGAACTCTGTCCATGTTAACATGATCCTTCACCCGTTTCTAACAGCAGTGGGCACAGTTAAGAGGCAGCAGCACAGAGCTCACCACAGGCAGAAGGTTGAAACCTCCTGGTGTATAAAACCATCACTGCTGACTGCAGGAGAAACGTGATCCAGGCAGCGAGGAAGACACCTGCAGACAGGCAGAAGTCTGTCCAACTTCAATGGTTTGTGAATAGGGAGACCTCTTTCCAGCTAATTACAGCCCTGTTCAATGACTACAGTGTTTCCCAGCACGCTGGAAAAATGAGCTATACAAAAGAAATACCAAAGTTTATTCGAGTTGTTAACAGCATACAATGTGTTCATAATAAATTTTATTTAGATGGTATATGTGGAGAACAGATGGGAGCGTTCATGTGTTTGGTAAAAATACTAGATGAAGACAAATATAGTTGATAGAGACTTTAAATTAAGAACTAGGAAGTTTTCATAAACAACTTAATTATCAGGGTCTAAATAGAGCTAAAGCTTTTAGGGTAAACAGACAAAACTACCAGCTACAAAGATCCTGCACTGCACACTCTGTCGTTTACATTCCTAATAGTGGGAGTAATGCATCCACATCCAACTCTCAGTCTCACAAGCATTGAAACACTTGTCTTATGGGTGTCCTGGTCAGAAATTAATAAGAAATCATTACATTCAAAGTTTAATAAATCTTCCACTTCATGATAGGCTGGAAGGAAAATTCACAGAAGGATAAGTGAGAAGTACAACGTGTTCCATGAGCATATTCAGGAGTGTTATTCAAATTTACAGCTTTAAAATTTCAACCTCCTAATCTTGTGAAATGAGAATAAATGGACATTTGAAGCCACTATGTA